CCATCTGCTTGTAGAGCCAATATCCTTTAGTCTTATGAGTTCAGTCAGCAGTGTAAGTCTTAGAGGGATGGAGGAAATTCTTAGAAGTTTTAGAAACCTTTTAAAACCTTGGCCCTGCCAAATATTGCAGTATCAGGCACTGTTATGCCTGATAGTTCAGGATTATCCAAGTCTAGAACCAGGAGCACAGATAAGGTGCAACCCAAAAGAAAAAAAATCTGTCTTCATTTTAAGTAACTTTCCCTTGAGGTTACAGGAGAAATTTTCAAAGAGTGTTTTGCTTAATTGTTTCCAGGTGTTAGCAGAAATTAATAAGAAAAGGCGGCGTTTGATGGAAATTAGGGAAGAACTAATTGGGTGAGTTTGTCTGTTAACTACACAATAGTTACTTGTGGAACTTAAGTACAGTGCTCAGAACATCAAGGGAAGTAATTCTTACTCTTGTCTTCATTATTTTGTTTAAAGATTGTTTATTTGAGACCTACATCCACTGCCGTCATGCACTTCTTTCTATTTTGTAAAAGTCCAAAAGGACTCCTTTTCCGTATTTGAGTTACAGTGCTGCATAGTAGAAGCAGGTAGTTAGTTTTTAACTGTTTCACATTAGACTTGTTTGGAAAATGGTTTCTTGTCTTTGAGTTACTTGTCCCATGCAGAATACATCCATGAGTAGATGTGAAATGATCAGTTAACCCTGTCTTCGAGAGTGGGTGTTATGTGCAGCTGTCATCTTCCCTCCTGGGGGGAACCAACTGGGGAAGGGAGTGCTGCGTGGTTCCCTCCCTATCACAGAACCACATAATTACCTTAGTAGAACTTGCCTTTGAGCATGCTCAGTATGTTCTGATGTGACATGTTTATGAGCATGTACAAGATTCAACATGCAGTGATTGGTGGAATGATAGAACGCCTAAGGTTGAGTTCTGTAAACATTAGAATATTTTCTTAACATAGACAATTTTTAGGAATCACTACTCTGGGCAATACTTTTAACCTTTAGATATTAGTTTACTTTAGGTTGTATTCCTTGACAAGAATTATCCCTTAGAATCCCCTGACCACTTCTGATTTTTTTAATAAGAATACAATCATTAATTGATGAAAACTAATTTATATGCACAGCATGTATGGGATCTGCAGTATCTTGTGGATCGTAGACTAGAACTAAAAAAAGATTCAGCAGAGCACTGAATTGTTGTTACACAACACCTATTTTTAGTCGTCTGGTCCCAGAATTGGAGTGCACAAAACCAAGTCACGTGCCTTAGGGTATAGCCATTCACAAAGCACACCCTGTTTGCTTGTTCTCACTCTACCTTTGCCAAACCCAGAAATGAGGCACTGGAAGATGCCCTTGGAGCCTCCCATAACTGCTTTGTGTCTGCGTCTTTTTCCAGCATGCTTGAGTGCTGTGGCTTCTTCGGACTGTGACAGAAGCAGTAGAGGCATAGCCTAAATTCTGTTTGCTGAGCATGGGGAGAGCTGAGACACAGAATGGGGTTTCCAACAGTAAGCCTGGTTAACAGAGAAATACCTAAATTGGCCTGTAGGAAATGTTGGGGAGGACTATGTCTGAAATCCTGCTCCCCCTCCAGAAAGTAAGTGCCTGTGAGATTAGGAGTAATAGTCAGAAGCCCCTATCTGGACTTGGACCCTGCACCCTTTGAGCTATATACAATTGCTCACTCTTTTTTTAAACAACTGGAGGAAGAGCCCAACATTGCCTGCCTTTGTCAAGGAAGCAGGACTCAACTTTAAACCCACAGCTTTCCTCTCCTAAGAGTATTGGGCTACCAGCTAGGCTGGGAGGGGCACTCTCCACCACTTCTGCTAATAAGGCTGCACCTACCATATAGTAGTCATGGGGCCAGGAGAAAGGAGTGCGACTCTAGTATTCACTGGAGAGGCTTGGACGAAGTCCAGTGCTTCCTTATGTATTTTAGCTAATGACATTGTGCCCAGAGAAAACTCTCATGGGGGCTCCCTCTTTCTGGCCCCTAAATATTTTAAGTTCTCGGTTGCATAGTGGTACAGCTTCAACAAGAGTGGTAGATAGCACCCTCAGCTGTATAGCATTGGGAGCTATGGATCTCCTGCTTCCTGGCAGAGTGATCTTAACCAGGAGGGAACCATAGAAAAGGTAGGTACTTCCACCACGGCTTGAATGAAATGGACATTGCCGGAGTGTTTTGTGCTTGACTGGACCATGTTCCAAGTATGCCTAACACTAGCATATTAGCCTATCAGGAAATGTAGGTGGTGGACCTCATCTAGTCATAGATCCCAACTAAGCTAAGGCATGAGACATACTGACCAGCCTGCAGGTGCCCGCAGCCAGAACTCTAGGCATTGAGGGAACTTCGCAGATTAAACCCTTGAGATGCATCTGCAGCTTTTCAGGAAACTTCAGACTTAACTGCAGGTTTTGTGGATTTGCACTAGTACTAATATCCACTTAATAAAAATGTTTACCTCAATTGAACAGGAAGCTATGCTACATACCAAGCCATCTTCACAGAAACAAAACACTCAAAATAACTCCTGAAAAAAATGTTCAGAACTTGATTCTTTGGTAATCTGCAGGACTGAACCAAAGCTGAAGCGGTTACAAAGGGAATATGCTGAGCTACAAGACAGGAAATCATCCTTCAGGATTACCACCCAATTTATGACTGACTTAAAAGAATTGCAAAAAGAGTATTCCAATTACAGAGAAAAACACCCACTGGAAAAAGTAACCGTAAGTATATTTTGCTTATTATTTATTTATGTTTAGACCGTAGCATTGTTGGTGGCTCCAACTCCAAACCACAACTGAAAAATAAGTGCAGTGAATGGATCGTGTATGTATAGTGTGTTAGGTTTATTTTAATATGGAAACTGGGAAAAAATTTTCAGTAGGGAAACAAATTAAATCAGTCTTTAGTTTAGCTTTAGGGAATAAAAACAGTGTCAAGAAGCTCTCATCCTGTGAAGATTGTAGTATGATTTCTAAACTTTCACTACACCTTTAAAATCGTTCAGATGTTAGTTGCTTCTAGAAGGAGGTGAGACAGTATTAGCCTTATCTCCAGGAATTATATTACAGAACAGAAGTGGTTTTATTCTGGAGTCCTCTCTCAAATTTGCTGGCCTAGGGAAATCTCTTCAACATTGGGACATTCCCTTAGCCATACATTAACTTAATGATCTATTCTGCATGTTTAAATAGCGACACTAAATCAGATTCCAGTGTTTTAAATAATGGGACAAATGAAGTGTTCAAAACAGGTAAGAACTTAATGGAAAATGTTTGCTTTCAAAGGAATGCCATGTAATTTTCTCCTTCTCCAACAGTATGGTGTTTCCAGCCTACCCGCTCTTCTAATCGAATCTCGAAGAATTTTAAGAGCTGAGAAGCACTTTCAAATAATCAATAAAAGATTACAACAGGCTTTGGATTTACAAAGACAGAAGCCACCAGAAAAACTTTAAAATGCTTTATACAACACTCTTTTAAAGATCTTTTTTCAACTAAGCACTATTTTAATTTTGTTTTCTATTTAATTTAAGACTACTGACTGCTTTAAGATAAGGTCACATTTTACTGTCATTGACGTAGCTTTGGTTTGCACTTAATTTTAGATAGGAAAGAAGCAACAATTAAAACTACACATAAGCATTAGTAAAATAAACTTGTGTTTTTAGTTTATTCTGTTTTTTCATTTCTAGCAGGGAAAGCTACAGTGTTCTGAAGACTCAAAGTCATAAAGAGCAGCTGTGGTTTTCTTTAGCGTTTTGACGTAGTTAAGCTACATTGATTGAATCTTATCACAAATTTCTCAGGATGAGTCAATGAATTAAACTCTTGCTTTCCAGTAAATTAGTACTGTAACTCCTTGAAAAGTCTAAGTCAGAGGTGGGCAAAATACATCCTGGGGGCTGTATCTGGCCCACAGCAGGTCCATGGGCCCTGCCTAGCCATAGGGGGCAGCCCAAGCTGTGGCATGTGTGGCTGGTCTCACTGCCCCCTGGTGCATGGTGGGGTTGGGGGTGTAGTGCTAAGCTGCTGCCAGATCTTGCCCCACTGCTTGTCTGCCATGAACCTATTACCAGGGTGCTGGACAGAGAGGGTGGATACTTTATTATGACCAGCCTGGGTGGATGGGATGGGGCCACAGGCATGTGGGGAGCAGCATCCAGGAGTGGGACAGGTGGATGGGGCCAAGGTCATGGGGCAGTGACAGCACAGGGCCAGGGCCTGGGGCAGAGCTGCAATCCGCTCCTTGCACATCCCTTCCTGTGGGTCTGGTGCCTGTCACAGGCACATGCAGGGAAGCAGATCATGGCTCTGGCCTGCTCCTGGACACTGATCCCCATCCTGTCTGCCAGGCTGAGTGGGCCCTGCCTGTGGGGGTTCCAGGCCAGTCTCTATGGAGACCCCACCTGCTCCATCTGGTAGGTGTGGGGCAGATGGGCCCAGGACCACAGAAGATCAGTTGCTCTCCTTTTTCCTCCCTCCCCCAGCCCACAACAACTCACCAAGACTCCTTAAGTTCCACTTCAGCCCAAATAATTGCCCACCCTTGGTCTAAAGTGTTAACAATGGACATTATATATACAGGTTGACTTGATAATGAAGCTTGCTAAGGACCAGTTCCAGGTAAAGTAGACAAGCTTGCCTCCTAAGAGATTGATGGCAAAGGGCACAAGTGATCTGATAAATGTCACAACCACCTGTTGATGAATAAAAATGCAAACATTCATTTTAAAAATAGTTTAAAACATTGCACGTTTCCTTTTGTTTGACTACTTAAATCTAATAGAATTGCTTTTGTCATCTGAGAAGGTACACTTTATTGGTTTAGATAAGCTTTTGATTAGTGATTCTTCCTGTTCCTTGAAGGGATTAACCACAATAAACCCCAGAACTTTTAAACATTGGTTATAACATGTCACCTCACTCTAGATCCCAGTAAGACTGTTATTTGCATCAGTTTCCCTTGGTGTTTTTTTTTTTGTTTTATAGATGTTATACTTGCCACTTTGTGTTTTATTTTAAATTCATGCCCCATCTTAAACCTATCCTGGGAACAGGAAACACAATAACAACAGAATAAGCCTGCATGGATATTCCACTGTGCTTCCTCTGTCCAGTGACACCCACTTCTTGGGAAATAAGATGGTAGTCTGGTTTTCACAGCTATGGTCTTTGTATTTGACAACTGGAAGGATAAGTTTGTGCTGTGCCACAGTATGTTAAGGGAATGAAATTACCTGCTTGATATGTAGGCCCAGAACCTCCATGTGACTGGTCTGCCACTCAACCCAAGTGAGCTATAAAAGCAGCAACGGAAGAAGGCTATAATCCTATTAAGCCATACTTGCACTTGGTTCTTGAATGTTTATCTAAATTGCTTATGTGAAAGTACAGCTGATAACAAGTTTAAGTATATACTTTTAGAGGCAGAAAAGTAGGAATTTCTCTAGTTGCTATAAATAGGATTTATGGCATTAGGACATAGTTGTGGTCAACTGTGATGTCTTAGATTCATTAAGTAGATAAGCCAAGCTTGTTGCTACTGGTTAGCATGTTTCCAGTTTTCTCAGCCTCCAGTAGGAGTTCATCAGGTATTTCTTCCAGGTTATAGTTGCATGTGGTCAAACCATTATCTGCAGCTTCAGCTAGTTCAATGTCTTCAGTAGCTTCCAGAAAACAGGCATCATCACTTGCATTGTCCCATTCTGTATTTGAGCACAGTTTGCCAAAAGACGTCCTGTTGTCTTGAAATATTCTTGGTGTGCTCTCTGAGGAGTCTGGAGGGTTTGAAGATAGTTCCACTTTTTCTTTTGTGTTACCACTTTCATCCATAAATACATATTCTTCTTCCTTAAAAAGAAAATGTCATCATCTGAATTTCACATGAATGGTTTTTAAAAACTCACTGTTGTTTTTAGATGGCAGCAAAGTTAAGCTAATATTGGATCTTTCAAAAAAGGCCAAATCTAATAGGCATGATGTACGTCAGTGCAAGACATGCTCTCTTTGTGATCTTGTCTATGCGCAGTTTACAATACAGTTAAGCACTAATCCTACAGAAGTCAGCTCTTGTTTCACTGGAAGTAGGATTTTGCTCTTACAATACTCTGGATTAACTAAGAAACTTTGAAAACTCATACTCAAGAACATTCTTACTAGCAACCTAACTTTATTATTCTAATGTTGTAAAAGCTGTAGTCTGTCCATAGCGCTTTATTTGCACTCTGATTGGTTGTCTGAAACAACCAATCACAGTGCTCCAAGAGTGTTCCGGACAGGAGGTGGCACTGCACCAGGGGGCGAGGCCAGCGCCATTGGCCTCATGTCCACACCCTCCCCGCTACCTGCGGACAACAGCACAGGGTGCTGGCTGAGGGAGACAGTGGGGCAAGCTTCCCCCTCCCCACCCCGGGAGACTGTGGCAGCACAGGGTGGTGGCACTCAGTTCCCTCCCTGCTCACCCCCTCCCCCCCAGTCATTCCTGACGGGCAATTGGCTAGTCTGTATAGAAGCAGCTAGAGCAAACGTTTCATGCATACTTATGTTTTTCCCTGCAGCAGCAAGTTTGTTGTTTTCAAAGTGCTCTGCCAATCTTAAGGTACTTAGGAAAAAACCTACAGATAACTTAAGTAGTATTGTAAAACTAATCTTAATATAAAGATATACATACAAATCTTGACGTTGTCTTTAAAGAGATTATTTACTATATATAGTTACCAAACTTTGGTACCTTAAATGGGACTTTTAACTGCATATCTGCACGTAAAACAGATTAACAGTTGGAATTACTTTGACCAAATTTTTACTAAGCGTTAATGAAAAACTGTTATCTTCAAAATTCAGGATATTAATTGCAAGATACTCTAAAAATGTAGAAGTCTTGCATTAAGTATATTCTTCAAAATGCTTTATTAGAGAGAGATTAAAAAAATGATGATACAATTTTATATTTAAGAGTCACTGACTAGTTTAATATTGTGCCATTTTAAGGCTGAATCATTGTCAGTATCTTAAGGCAAAAATATTTAAGTTCTACATAGATACCAGCTGTATTTCCATGGTGTTTTGTGTTGCAGTGGATAGTTGACTTATTTGCTCAAGCATATCCCTAACCTAAAAAAGAAAAAGCCTCTGCAAGGAGTATTTAACTACTTTGGTTGAGAATCACGGGTCTAACCAACTTGAGTGCCATAGCCCTGGAGTGCCTTAAGATCCTTTCAAGGAAGCTGTGGTGTGTCACACAACGTTAGGATTTTTAGGTGTGCAAACATGATTCACAAGATAAACCCAGAGATTTCAAATAGGAATCCAGACTTTTAAAAACATCCTGACTTCTTGTGGTCTGAGTCCTTTGAAACAGCAGAATTGTTATTTTTTGTACTAAGGGCTGGCATTTTCCAAGGTGTGCCTTGAGTCTAAAATAGGTTGAGAACTACTAAGTTAGATAGTGAAGAAATAGCCAGAGACTGAACTCTTGTGCTATTATAAACAAGACTTGTATAGATACAGATAAAATGATGTCCAGTGTACGCTACCACTTCTTTAGTTGCTATACTGTTATCACATTTAAAAAAAACCCAAACACTTGGGGTGGTTACACAAGTTATATTTTTCATGAATTCAGGCCCCTAAAAGTGCTCTATAGCTGTACTGACAGACACATACACAGCTGCAGAGTGCTTTTAAATGGTTGAGCACACAAAAAAACCTCTCTCAAAGGAGGCATTAGATGATGGCGCTCTGCTTTAGCGTGTCTTAGGCAACTTGCGTTGCCTACGGTTAATTTTTTGCACTTTGTGGGCTGAGCTATCAGTGCCGGGGTGGGAGAGGGGGAAACAGCACAAAGTTGCTGGCTGGGGTTTGCTGCCTAGTTGGAGCTGGAGGGGAAGAGATGGAATAGAGCCTCTGGCCTCATGGTCCCTCCCCCACAGGTACCCCAGCTGGGGTACTGAGGGGACCTAAGAGGCAAGGGTCCTCCGTTTCATTCCCCAACCCGCCAGCTGAGGTTGGGCAAGCTGACAGCTCATGCTACTCCTTTCCCCCTCAATGGATTAGAGCACAGCTAAGGTAAGTCTGTCAGCACCCTTGCTGACCCCATTACAATTAGTGCCATAGACCACTGCTTCTCAACCCATGGTACATGTACCCCTGGGGGTACATAAGACACAGGCAGGGGGTACACAAGTGCCGCATTTTGCTCTTTGCCTGTTCAGGCTGGAAGTTCCGACCACTGCCCCTCCCGCCATGCCCCGTGTGCCAGAGCTTTCACTCCCCAGTGTCAGTGTGCCAGGGGATAGGGAGGGAGGCCCCACGCAGGCTGCACTGCCCCAGGCTGCGGTGGAAAAAGTGGGACTCGACTCCTGGTGGCGAAACCGGAAGTGCCATGGTGGGACTTCCGGTTTCACTTTTGCTGTGTTGATCAGCAGGCAATACATAAGGTACCAAAGGTTGAGAACCACTGCCATAGACATAGGGTTGCAAAAATAATGTCAAGGCTTGTACGATCTAACATTTTAATGTAGGTAAGGTTTTTATGGGGCTACGAGACATAGTAGTTTTGGCATTTAATTTAAATCTTTCATAGAATCATAGAAAATTAGGGCTGGAAGGGACATCAGGAAGTCAGCTAATACGACCCCCCGCAGGACCATTCCCCAACTAGATCATTCTAGCCAAGGCTTTTTTAGCCAGGTCTTAAAAACCACTGATGATGCATTCCACCACCTCTCTGGGTAACCTGTTTCAGTGTTTTACTACCCTCCTAGTAAGAAAGTTCTTCCTAATAATCTAAACTAAACTTCCCTTGCTGCAACTTGAGACCACTGCTCCTTGTTCTATCATCTATTCATGTAGTTGAAGGCTGCTACTAAATCTCTCAGTCTTCTCTTCTCTAAACTAAATAAGCCCAGTTCCCTCAGCCTGTCCTCATAAATCATGTGCCTCAGCTCCCTCACCATTTTCACTGCCCTCTGCTGGACTCTCTCCAATTTGTCCACATCCTTTCTGCAGCAGGGCCCAACACTGACCACAGTACTCCAGATGTGGCCTCACCAGTGCTGAATAGAGGGGAATAATCACTTCCCTTGATCTGCTGGCAACACACCTACCAATGCAGCCCAGTATGCCATTAGCCTTCTTGGCAACTAGGGAACACTGCTGGCTCATTTTCAGCTTATTGCCCACTGTAACTCCCAGGTCCTTTTCTGCAGAGCTGCTGCCCAGCCAATTAGCCCCCAGCCTGTATTTGTAACTACTTTATTCAGTAGTTAGAAATAAAAACACACATACCTCTTTGAAGAGAAATGGGAGGCATATCTCAGGTGGTAATGAAGACCCTAAATCAAATATAGTAGTTTTTTTAAATTCAGAAATTATTAAATACAACTTTAAATGTTAAAATGTATTGAAAAAATACTCACGTTTTGACTTGAAGTTTTCCGCTCTACAAACAGGGTCATGACATTTTTGATACCAAACTTCCCCTTTTAGATCTATCAGGATCCTTGAAATACCAATGCATATGTTGGCTAAAGTTTAACAGCATAAACACAACACACATTTTGAGGAAGAAATCCAGGCCTTGCTGAAGTGAGACTGTCAAAGGCTTAAAGGATTTCACCCATAATCTATAACAGTAAGTAGAATCTGTCCTGTTTGCAATTAGAATACAACCTTTATATTAATGTAATTTTACAGTAACAGCATACAACTAACGAGATCATGTTGCATATATTGAATATAAAGGAATTGGGGGAGAGGGGGGATTAAAGCCAAGGTTTTGAAAGAGAAACAATTAATCTCAAGTGTACATTAAAATAGGACATGAGACTAAGGTTACAAAACGTAAGTTAAATCCCTTCCTCTTGGAATGAATCCAGCTATGCCTCTGTTTGAACTTACGTTCATTCTGTCTGTATGTTTCTGCAGTTTTCTGGAAGTGCGTGGCTGGAAGGGACCTCAAGAGATTATTAGCCCTCCCCTTCCATTGAGGCGGGATCAGTTATGCCAGGGGTGGGCAAGATGCGGCCCACCAAGCCATTCTATCTGACCTGCAGGGCCCCTAAAAAATTTAGAAAATTAATATTTATCTGCCCTGGGCTGCCTGTCATGTGGCCCTTGATGGCTTGCCAAAACTCAGTAAGCAGCCCTCCACCCAAAATAATTGCCCGCCCCTGAGTTATGCCAAGATATGCTCTAATACAGTGGTTGGCAAGCTATGTAAGATGGCCCATGGAGTCACTGTATCCAGCCAGCAGAGATGGGGGGAAGTCTTTGCCTATGCTGCTGCAGGGCAGCAGGGAGAAGCGGCGGTGGCAGCTGCATCTTAGCTCTGACCTCAGACCCGACCCAAGTCAGTCTGACCAGCTTCCAATATAGGAAATTCTATGATTTGTTTGGCTAAGCTGCTGCAGAATTTGACAATTCATATATTTCTTAATATCTAATCTAGATGTCCCTTGCTGCAAAATGAAGCAAACCACTTTTTGTCCTCTCCCCTGTGGGCATGGAAAACAATCCTGTATATCTGAACATCTGCACCTTCCTTGTCTCGCTCTTTGAGACTAAAGCTCAGTTTCTTCAATGTTTCTTCACGGGCCACGTTTTCTAAGAAATTTATGCTTAGGGACCTAATTTTGCAAATTTTGTAAAATCTGGCATTGCCCACAAAAGTGGGCAATACCCACTGAATCTGGGGGGAGGCTTACAGAAAGTAAAAAAGCAGTCCTTAGGGTGTAGTGGCAGCCTGCAGGGAGGGCTACCCGCTCAAAGTGCTGCCAGCAAGATGGCTGCTGCCCCTCGCCGCTGATTGGCTGTAAGAGCTGCCTGTCATGTGGCCCTGCCCTTTACCAATCAACAGCAAGGGGTGGGGCTGCATGACAGACAAGCCTTACAGCCAATCAGCAGTGCAGGGTGGGGGCCACTGAGTCCCCTCAGCCAATCGGAGGTGGAGGGGCATTACTGCACCCAAAATGGCTGCCAGAGCCTGCATTCTGCCTGCGAAATCGGTGGGCAGCTGCTGTGAATTACTTAGGTCTCTACATGTGCTTGTTGCTTTCCTCTGGATTTTTGTTTGTTTACATTTTCTTGAAGTGTAGGGCCCATGGCTGGACCCTGTACTCCAGATGAGACTAAACTACTACCAAGGATAGACTGGAGCAATTTTTCTTCCATATCTTACTTGGTACGTATGCTAACACATCTCAGAAGGAAATGTAATGTTTTTGCAAGTGTCACGTCATTGAGTTGGTCAGTTCACTATCACCCCACATCCTTTTCTTTAGTATTGTTGCCTAGCAAATTATTCCCCTTTTATATTTGTGCATTTGATGAATTCCCTAGGAAGTGGAAGAAAACCACACAATAGAACTTCAGAACTTTTTCGATATGCTTGAATAAATATCATGCATTCAGTATTTTAAATACTGATAAATGCCCTCAGAAATGGAGTGGACTTAAATTTGGATCCAATCAGACATGTTGCCTTTGCAAAATCATACGTCTAGTCATTTGCAGTCACAATCAACTTCACATCAAATCACCAGCACCATTTATGTGTCCAGGGTATAACTATTTCTGTTCCAAGTAAAACTGACTTAACATTTTTAAAGCTGTTAGTTTCTCAACAGCGTTAACCAAAAATTTGGAGTGATACCTTACTGCAGTCAATAGCAAACTTTTACTGCACTAGGGTCAGGAATCATCTTTGCCATTTTAACAAAATTGAAGTTAATTCTCTTTGTAACTCCAGCAAGATTAACATGGCCTGCCCCTCTTCATTCTAGAATGTCATACATCCCAAATTACGCTTTAATGGTCACACCACAGCAGTCATGTTGTTAAGCTTCATGAACAGAAGAACCACACAAATATGGTCGCTGGACATTAGCATGCCTTCTTGTCTTACTGCTTTGAGAAACTAACAAAGCAAAATTAAACTTAGAACAACTGTTAAGGCAATCTTAGCTACTATACTGAAAATCTTCCCTTTTATTGCTTCTAGTGAGTGGCACAGAGAATCCCATCAGGGTCAGAACCCTGTTATACTAAGTGCTATAAAGGACATAAGACAACCCCTACCCTGAGTTTTCATTCAATAGGGCAAAAGCATAAATAAGCTGCATTCCTTATTGAGATGTTCTTTTATAAAAATGTGTGCGTTACGTATAGCTCCTTCAAGGAGAATACTAAACAACGTACATTATGTTGTTGCTTTTGTGAGCTCTTCCAATGTTTTCACACCAGCGATATCTGGAAATGTCATAAACAAGAAGTTCTTCCAGGGAAAAATAATTCCAGTGTCGTATCCCTGGAAAATAAATAATTATGTATTTGAATCAGTGACATTTGTAGAGTTATCTCTCTCTCAAAAAAAGAAAAGGGTGCATCTCACCTCCTTGAACACCATCTTTATTAACTAAAGAAAGGACAAAGCGGTCAACTTCAGGATAGGGAGAATACTCATATCCTTCTATGGGATCTGTTAAAATTAAAATACATGGAATTACTGTTACAGATTAGACAGGCTCAAGAATTGAAGTGTACTTTATTCTTATTAATCACTATGGGTCTACTCATTACTATAAAAGCAGAATTGGGCCTAATGATGGTTGGTATTATCTCTTAGCCACTCTTGTACAAGTTGTTCTTGCTTGACCTCTGAGGACACTCTGGTAATGGCATATTGTAATCACCATAGAAGATGGTCCTGCACTTTAGAAGTTGGTAACTGCTTAATGTTCAAATGAATAGCAAAATTCTCACTGTGAGCTAGATTATGCAACATAGTTTGAGTACTACCTTATACAGCAAGCAGTTCCACCAATTTCAAGTTGGACTGTTGCTGGAAAAAGGAGTAATTCAGGATGACCAAATCTGACCCTTTAAGTTACTAGCCTTACTCACATCTCAGATCACTGACCTGGGTCTGGAATGGTCAGCATAATAGTAGCTGTTCTTAGACGATGAAACTTTAAAAAACAATTTAAATGGGAAATTGTGAAAAAAGAAAACATGCACAGGCTACAACCGTGCTAAGCCAAAACTACAGGTTATCCTATTTTCTGGATTCGCTTTTATAACTCTTTTGTCCCTCATGAGTTTCACTCTATTCTACCCAACTTGCCTCTCCCATCACTGTCCCCTTTTTTTCTTCCCCCTTCCCTTCCTGTCAACAGTGGCTTCTGTTAGGATTCTTGCAACTTCTGATATTCTAAAGGAAGAACATCAGCAAGTTTGGGTAGAAACAGAAGGGTTGAAAAGATTTATAGCCATGGCTTGAAAGTGTCATCTCTTATTATATTTATAGTCCTGTTCTTTCTCTGGTCATTGTTACAGAATATGATTTTTCCCTTGTGTATTCTAGAATGATTGCCTTTGGAATACATTACTGCTGTGCCAGC